AATGTCCACCGCCCAGACCACTGGAACATGAATCCCCACCCAGGACAGGACAGAATGCCTCCACTGCAACACACCTGGTGCCCCCTAATAAGGAAAGGGTTACCCGGAACATAACCTGGCTAGCATCTAGCACCGCATCACGCAAAGTTGGTGCAACAGTCATGTGGTCAATGCAATCAATAAGCCTTGTGTCAACACTGACAGCTGGCAAATTTGGGAAAGGAGTGCAAAAGTTAGCATGGGTTGGGGCCCTAAAGGAAGGAGCATCTTCTAAGGAAATGGTCAAAGATTTAGGAAATGTGAGACACAAGTGGGTCAACTACGGGAGTAGACCATTTTGTTACAAAATTATCCACAAAAAGGGATAGAGTGTCAGGAACCACTTTGTGCCAGGGACACAAGAATTTAGATACAGTTAGGATGTTCAAAAGGTATCCCTAATGAGGGATGGGCAACAGTTACTGACAGGTCCACAAGAAGGGACTGGAAACTGGTCTTCAACTTACGATCCCATGAAGAACCAATGCCAGAATCTGAATTAGATTATTATTATTATTATACAGGATTTATATAGCGCCAATAGTCTGCACAGCGCTTTACAATATAAGGAAGACATTACAGTCACAATACAATTTAAGACAAGATGGTAAGGAGGGCCCTGCCCGTGGGGGCTTACAATCGAAAAGGGAGGGGCAAGTGATACATGAGGAGGTAGCTGTGCGGGGATGATTGTTTGAGAAAGTGATTGTTCAGTGGTTAGGTTGAGGTGGGATAGGCTTCCCTGAAGAGATGAGTCTTAAGGGATCGCCTAAAGGCAGTCAGTGTGGGAGATAGACGGACAGGTTGGGGTAGAGAGTTCCATAGAATGGGAGACACTCTAGTGAAGTCCTGGAGGCGAGCATGGGAGGAGTTGATGACAGAGCTGGAAAGCAGGAGGTCTTGTGAAGAGCGGAGGGGACGCTTAGGGTAATACTTTGAGACCAGGTTGGAGATATAGCCGGGGCCAGAGTTGTGGATGGCTTTGTACGCGGTTGTTAATATTTTGAATTTTATCCTTTGGGCTATAGGAAGCCAGTGTAGGGATTGACAGAGGGGGGTTGCAGACACTGAGCGGTTGGTTAGGTGGATGAGTCTAGCAGCTGCATTCATGATAGACTGAAGGGGGGATAGCCTGTGTAGAGGTAGGCCAATGAGGAGGGAGTTGCAATAGTCAAGACGAGAGATAACAAGGGAGTGGATGAGTAATTTTGCGGTTTCTTTGGTGAGGAAGGGGCGTATTTTGGAGATGTTACGAAGGTGAAGGCGGCAGGATTTGGATAGTGATTGGATGTGGGGAAGAAAGGTGAGGTCCGAGTCAAGGATGACACCTAGGACCTTGGCATGGGGGGAGGGCTGGATAGTTGTGTTAACAATCTCAAGGGAAAAGTTGGGGGAGGGTGCACAGGCAGGAGGAAATATCAGTTAGTAGATTAGTGACACGCAAGGACACTGAGGGGGAGAGTTGCGGAGTAGAGAGATAGATTTGAGTGTCATCGGCATAGAGATGGTATTGGAAGCCATGTGTGGGATTAACTGACCAAGAGAGGAGGTGTAGATAGAGAAGAGAAGGGGTCCAAGGACAGAGCCTTGGGGGACCCCTACAGAAAGAGGAAGAGGAGGGGAGGAGTTAGATTTGTAGGTGACACTAAAGGAGCGTTTAGACAGGTAAGAGGAGAACCATGAGAGAGCAGAGTATTGTAGGCCAAGTGAGTAGAGTTTTTTGAGGAGGAGCAGGTGGTCCACGGTGTCAAAAGCAGCAGAAAGGTCTAATAGCAAGAGTAAGGAATAGTGGCCATTGTGTTTAGCTGTTATTAAGTCATTAGTGAGTTTTA